CTCGGTCCCATGGGTGCATGGCCAGCATGTTGTTTTGTAATTGCGTGTTTGCAGTTTTGCCTCCCAGTCTGAGTTGGGAGTGCGTTGGTGCTAAGCACCATTCCTTACTTATCTTTGATTCTTCTGCTTCTGACCTGTCTTTGTACTGAGTAGGCACACAGGAAGTAATTGTTGTGATGAAACCCTTGTTCAATTGGAGTTTGCCCTGGGCTGGGAAGTGCTGGGACAGCTCTGAGGAGCAGGCTGTCGGGTGTGGGCCTCAGAGATGCTGAGGGAGACAGTCCACCCACATTCATGTTGTAACAATCTTGGGCTGCCGACAGTGCTTTTCTTCCTGGCTGTATACCCAGGGCCTTGCCTTTGGGGTCCAGGGTTTATCACACTGGGGCTCTTTCCACCCATCACCAAGGTGAACATTGAGAGAGATGCATCTGCACAGGGTTTGTTCCCAGGCTCCTACTGGCTGAAGAGATCTATTAATTGAATATTTTATTTGCCCAGAGGTTAAATGCATCCCAAATCCAGTGAATGTCAGAAATATGGAGAGAGTCACTTCAATGTAGTCATATGGTCTAGGCGACAAAAGAGAGAAAACGTGAAGGAAGAAATTAACTCTTTGAGGGACAGCAGCAGTCAGATGTATATCTTAGACTTGGGACTGCGCATGTTTATGTGACTTACTTTGCTGTCGTGTGTTTTCCCTCTGCATCTCCACCACCATGCATTTTTATTCAGTAAAGACACATTTTCTTTTAATGTTTTCTTTTTTCCTGTTTTTTAAATAAATTAATTGATGAAATCATCTACCTTCTTCAAAGTATTGCTCATTCCATCTCTAGAGGAACTCATACAGAATAAGTGGTGGATTGGAAATCTATTTAAAACCCTAATCAGTGAGTCGTTTCTGTGCTGAACCAATTAAATCACAGTCTCTTTTGGCAATTTCCCAGTTTCAGCCTTGGAAAAAGTTTGTAATGCGTCTTGTAGAACAACAGAGCTGTGACTCGTGAGGACACACGGTACCCTTAGGGTGGACTCTGCGCTCACATGCGTGGGACTCCTGTGTCCTAAACAAGTTGAAGTGCATGCCGCCGTCGCTGTCAGTCCCCAACCCTCTTCGTACATCCTCGTGTCATGTGGCTGGAGAACAGTTCTCAGTCCCTCAGGTCTGGGCAACCAGCTAGTTCTATCAGGCTGCTGATTATTTATGGGTTGGTATGTTTCAGGAAGGCTTGATTTGCCAACTTGGATGTGGCGTGAATTTATCTGAGAAGATAAAACAGAGGTAGTGTGGAGCTGCAGGTGTGGTAAGGCTGGATGTTGTGTGCGTTGTTGCTGGGGAAGCCATTGGAGACCCTCCTGGCCAGCAGAGGCTGGAGGCTTTTAAAGGCACTCAGGGTGCCGTGGGGTGGCTCTGAACATCCTCATGATCCTTCCAGGGGAGCAGCCACCCATAGTACGTCTTCAGCAGAAAGTTGGGGTGGGGGGTCCTGTTCTTTTTTGGAGGTGGAGGCCTTGTCTTCAATAGCAGCCAGAAAGACAGAGGTCTTTTTTTTTTTTTTTTTTTTTTTTTTTGGTACCGGTGATCGAACTCGGGAACTTGCGCTTGTAAGGCAGGCGCCAGAACCACTGAGCTAAATCCCGGGCCCTTAGAGGCCTTTTGATTCTACTCACCGTGGTGGGGGTGGGGTGCAGGGAATTAGTTTTGACTGTTGCTTAGTCACCAATGGGCAGCAGGGGGAGCCAGGAGGGAGCACTTGATGGTCCTCACAGCTGAGGTGGGCAGCTTCGTGCCTGTCCACTTTTCCTTAAGGCAATAGTGTTTGGGGCTTAAACTGTTCCATTTTTACATTTATGTATTTTTTTCCCCTTCAGAATTTTTTTTTTTTTTTGTACCTGGGATTGAACTTGGGTCCTTGCTCTTGCGAGGCAGGCAGCAGAACCACTGAGCTAAATCCCCAGCCCTCAGAATGTTTTTTTTTTAAGTCCTCTAAAGGCATATCCTGTGTAGTCCTCACAGGGATTTATGGTGGGGTATATTTTTACAATACAAGGTGGGCAGTGAAGAAGTAGGAAACAGAGAAAGAAGGGCTGGTTGGGTCACCGAAGGCTGTTCCGGGGAACATTTCTTATAAGCTGCAAGGCCCTGATAGCTTAGGGGCAGAGATTTAAGCAGTTCTGGGGGGAAGGCCTAGTGAAAAATGGAAACTGTCTTTGGTCTGTGGCCAGGTCTGTGGGGATTACAAACCTCGAATATCAAGGCAGTTCTGAGGAAGTGGACGGGGACATCTCGGATAGCAGAGCCCTTTTCTTTGGTCCTTAGGAGCAACAGCCATAGCACCCATATCCTGCAGCCTGACCCCACTGAGCCTGAGCTGTGAGGGGGCAGCCCTGTGGCCTGGGTTCTGGACCCTCCTGAATTGAATGCTCTGGCCTGAGGGGCCTGGCAGGCAGGTGGCCTGCAGAATGGCAGGTGCTCATTGTGGTCATACCACCACCTGGATCTGAGTAGGGCACTGCGAGGAGGGGTCGGGTGGGTTTTAGAAGAGGGGGTGCAGGCAGGGCCTTTAAAACATATGGTTTCTCACCTTGCTTCACGACACAGCCCCTGGAAGGAGGGGATGAGCTGGGAGTGAAGAGAAGGCCAGCCCAAGAAGCTCTGTGCAGATTTGTGGTGGAGCAAGGGTAGTGAGAGGAAGGCTCATCGCACTGCACTGCGCAGAGGCAGGCTCTTCAACGCTGCACCCCAGCACCCGAGGCTCTGGGAGAGAAGGCAGAAAGGAACATAGAGGCACAGAGCGCTCTTCAGTGGATTCCTGCAGCACTTTGCACTTGAAAAATTCACTTTTATTTCCAGGTGCACTTGTGGGCTACCCCTTGTGACTCCTGCCTTGTTTTTGTCAGTGGCTGAAGCAGTTTACTTCTCTTGAACTGGAGAACTCTCTGATGTTTATCATCCTTTATGGACACTTGTGAATGGTGTAGCAGAGTCTTCAGAATTACTTAAGAACTATGAGTGTGCAGGGTGTTGTGCCTTTTTCTCTTTGTAAACTTATTGTAGAAATAAAGAGCTATGTAGAATAGATCTTTAAACTTGCAAGATTTTTATGTCAGGGTTGGTCAGTAAGTTAGAAATAGTATGTTTCATTCATACTTTTCTATATTATATGTAATTTGGCATTTGGAGGGGCTGAGAGGTGAGGCTTTGTGCTGATCATTGCTTTATAAAATTGTGAATAATTACACAGGTGTCCCAAACTTGAGCAAGGACCAAAAAAGTTTGATCAAGTAATTTGAAGTAGCTGAGAGTGAATTGTCATTGAGATGTGGACTTAGTTGGCTTATTTATTTATCCAGCTTTTTAAGTTTTTATTTCTGCTTTTCTGTTGGGGCCAGTAATTTTTTTTCCTTTGGGCCTCATTGGTTGGCTCTGTGGGGCCCATCCATGGGGTAAGGTGTGGCCCCCTTTTCAGTGTTTGCTGCCCAGAGGTGCCTTGGAAGCTTGTTAGGAGAGGCCTTTCTCAGGAGCCCCTTTAAGCTCTGAAATTCTCAGCAAGACTTCTGCCTTGTACCCTGTTTGCAGGAGTAGGCTGGAGTGTTGGTTTCTGGCCGCAGGAGTAGAAGTGCTGTGCTTAGAATCCCTGTACCCTGGAAAGATGTTAGAGGTGCTTCTGCCCCAGTTGCTAATTTTTAGCACATGCTCCCTATGGTCAGGTATCTTGTTCTTTGCTGTATCTGTTTCAGTGAAAATGTCTGGGTCAGAACACCCAGAGCAAGCAGGGAGTTGCCATCCCAAATTTTTCGAAAATAACCCTTCCATCTTTGAGTGAAGGGTAGGAGTAGACACACTGGCCCAACACCTGGCACTCACAGCTCCTTTGCAGACCTTAAATATGGTTGTTAGTGTGTATGGGGTCCTGTCCCCAATGCTGCCTGCCCGACACAAGACACAGCACACAGGCCAGCTGGATAAGGTGGCCTTTGCCTGTGGCCTGGAGGAAGGTCCTGGGAGGAACCTGTCCCTCTTTTTCTGGTAGGACGATGGGCACGGAGGTGGCAGTGACCACACAGTGTGATGCTACATGGAGTCAGCAGGACCCAGCACCACCTCTGGGAGTAACTCCAGTCTCTTGAGGTGAACTCCATGGGTGTCAGACCTGTGGCAAGGTGGAGGGAGAGGCAGGAGCCAGAATGTAGGACCTGATGGGGTTGGGAGGGACTCTGCATAGGGCTTAGGACTCAGTCCTGTGGCCAGAACCTGGGGTCCCATCTAAGGGAGTGTGGGCAAGGGGGCCAATGGGGAAAAGGTCAGAGCCAGGAAGGGAAGAGGATCATATGCCAGGCCAGTAAGGTGTGGTCGCCAGCCTGTGGCTGAACTCACGCCAGCACGTGCACAGGTAGCCTCACAGGGCGGCTTCTGTCTTGGGTCTGGGCAGCCACGGGACCTGTGGAACTCAGGGGTCATTTCTACCTCATGTTGCTGCTTCTTATTCAGTCACCTGTGTCCTAAGAAAGGCTTGTTCCTTAGTATCTAAATACAGTCACATGTTGGTTAAACTGCTGTCAGCAGTGGCCAGCTGCTTCTGCAGCTCATGATCCATCAGCTTGAGATTGGCCCCAACTTTCCCCTCCTGTCATGGTGCTGTTCTCTGTCCCTCGTATTCTTCGGGGGTGGGAGGGGGCTGCTTCTGTTTCTCACAGTCTACAAACTCTCTTCCCATGATCCTCCTTTAAGATCGATATCTTTTGGGGGAAGAAAAATGACAATTACTTACTTGAACTATCTAATACAGTTGCTAATAATTATTGAGTCAGTGGTTTTTTAAAGAAGTAAACAGCTCCTTATTAATATATCTGAATTTTTGTTGGTGGTCCCTTTCTGGAATTTGACTTGGATGGACGGTTGTATGGTGGAATGTGCTGGGTCGACACCTGTAGACATTCCCATGGGCTTGTTCAATCCGGGACCTTTGCTTATAAGATTTCTGTCTCTGTTCCAGGTGCTTACTGCCATCTCCTGGTTCCCCGTCTGGACCATGCACCTCCTGGTCACAGGTACCTCTCTCACTGTCTCCACGCAGCAGAAGTCCCTCTGAGAATGGAGAGATAAGACTCCGTTCTTTCAGGCCTTCGTGAGAAAGCTGTGTCCCCGGCCCCGCAACACCTCCCAATGGATCGCAACAGAGAGGCGGAGATGGACCTGAGGAGAGGGCCCAGCCCACCCAGGGCCAGCAGGAGTCAGGAGACGGATGGGGACAAGGCTGCCTGCCACAGCTGTTGCATCTGCGGCAAGAGCTTCCCCTTCCAGAGCTCGCTGTCGCAGCACATGCGCAAGCACACAGGAGAGAAGCCGTACAAGTGTCCCTACTGTGACCATAGGGCGTCCCAGAAGGGCAACCTCAAGATTCACATCCGGAGCCACCGCACAGGTACTTTGATTCAGGGACATGAGCCAGAGACAAGTGAGGCACAGCTGGGTGAGATGCGTGTGTCTGAGGGCCTGGATGGGTGCGCCAGCCCCACGAAAAGCACCTCAGCCTGCAACCGCATTCTGAACGGGGCAGCGCAAGTGGACAGCAGCAAGATCCTGCTGAGGAGCAGCCGGAAGGAAGCGGGAGGGGCAGCTAACACTGCAGAGGGCGAGGCTGCCACCCAGTGCTCCTTCTGCAAGAGCCAGTTTGAGCGGAAGAAGGACCTGGAGCTGCATGTGCACCAAGCCCACAAGCCCTTCAAGTGCAGGCTGTGCAGCTACATGACCTTGCGGGAGGAGTCCCTGCTGAGCCACATAGAGCGGGATCACATCACTGCACAGGTGCCCAATGGCGGTGAGGCCTGTGTGGAGAACGGCAAGCCCGAGCTGAGCCCAGGAGAATTTCCCTGTGAGGTGTGCGGCCAGGCCTTCAGCCAGACCTGGTTCCTGAAGGCACACATGAAGAAGCATCGGGGCTCCTTTGACCATGGCTGCCACATCTGTGGTCGCAGGTTCAAGGAGCCGTGGTTCCTTAAGAATCACATGAAGGCACATGGCCCAAAGACGGGCAGCAAGAACAGGCCCAGGAGCGAGCTGGACCCCATTGCCACCATCAATAATGTGGTCCAGGAGGAAGTCATTGTTGCAGGCCTGTCCCTCTACGAAGTCTGCACCAAGTGTGGAAACCTGTTTACAAACCTGGACAGCTTGAATGCCCACAATGCTGTACACCGCAAGGTCGAAGCCAGCCGGACCCGTGCCCTGGCCGAGGAGGCGGCCACTGAAAGTCCCCTGGACACCAAGCAGCTCTTCTTACAGTGCCTGAACCTGAGACCGTCCGTTGCTGGTGACGGGTCCCCTGGCGGGCAGGCTGGAAGGCGGGTTGCGGAGCTGGACCCTGTGAACAGCTACCAGGCCTGGCAGCTGGCCACCAGGGGCAAGGTGGCTGAGCCAGCCGAGTACCTCAAGTATGGGGCCTGGGATGAGGCGCCGGCGGGGGATGTGGCCTTCGACAAGGAGCGGCGTGAGTATATCCTGGTGAGCCAGGAGAAGCGCAAGCGAGAGCAGGATGCACCAGCCACACAGGGTCCCCCGAGAAAGAGGGCAAGCTTGCCTGGGGACCCCATGCTGCCTGGCCACTTTGACCCTCGGCCGGCTGCACGCCCCAGCCGCCGGGCTGCAGCTTCTGCCGGCCATGGCAAGTCCTCAGAGTGCTTTGAGTGTGGCAAGATCTTCCGCACCTACCACCAGATGGTGCTGCACTCCCGTGTACATCGCCGTGCCCAACGAGACAGGGATTCGGACGGGGACAGGGTGGCACGTGCCCGCTGTGGCTCCCTCAGCGAGGGTGACTCCGCCTCCCAGCCCAGCAGCCCTGGTTCAGCCTGTGCTACTGTTGACTCTCCAGGCTCTGGCCTGGCCGACGAGGCTGCTGATGATAGTGGTGAAGAGCCCTCGCCCGAACCAGCACCAGGTGAGCAAGCAGTGGTGGATTAGGCCAAGCGGCTGGGCCCAGGTAGCCTCTTACCCGGGTGGCTCTGCACTCAGCTAGCCACACACTTAGGACTCCACGCCCAAGGAGCTTTGTGCTTTGAGGACCTTGTTCTTAGGTATTCACGCCCAGGTAGCCCTTGGCCAGAGTCCCTGTGTCCAAGGAATTAGGTGGCCTTGGTATCCCGCACCCAGCGTGTACCTGAAATTCGTGCTAGTGGGTTCGTACGTGGGCGCCTGTCAGCTTCACTTGCCTCTCCTTTTGGAACTGACCTGCATGTGGTTGCATAAAGTACCATCTTTGTGTTCTGGAATTGATGGTCTCTATTGGGCATCAGTAGTTTCTGAGCAAGGAACACAGTCGTGGACCCCTCTGAGGTGTGCTTCTCTCTCTTTGGCACCCCAGGCCCAGTTCTCAGCATACAATAACTGTGCACACATGGTGTAAACATCCTGTGCATATACCACACACATGGGCACGCATGGGCACAAATACACCACACACACATGCACACACTTTCTTCTCTTCTCCCTTAACACCAGACAAAAGAAAAGAATAACTTTGAATTGGTGTGCAGTTATGATTTAATCTCCTTGGATTAAAGTAACTCTGTGGGTTTAGGGACAGTTAATTGGAACAGAGTACTTTCCAAATAGCAGCCATGTAAATACTTAAAGATGCTTGGCTAACTTTGTTTTCATAGTTTTCCTGCTTTTTATAAATTTTAAAAATTTTCATATTCCCTGTTATTTTTGCCTTGAGTAATTATGAATGGAAGGGGAGGTTCACTGATGGAGCTTTAACTTTCAGTGAAGCCAAGGATATTTTTTCTCTTCTTCCTTGCAAATCTGTTAGTGAGTGTTGCTTTCAGCTGAAAGTTGAATGATAGAAATGGGAGTACAGTGGGCAGAGGTGTTTATTTTCTGTAATGAGAAAAAGGACCCTGGGCGTTTGTTTCAAACAAAGCATAAATCGATGCTACTTTTCCTTATTAGGGGTTAAGCAGAGTCGTCTTAGTACAGGTTTATGCATTGTGCTATAATGGGAACCAGCTGTATCTACATAGATAAGGACAAGAAGAACTTGGGAAGCAGTAGTTTCTCTAAGCCTTATTGAGCCCTGTGCCAAATCTGCATACTTATGCATATGTCTCCCCAACATCAGCTGAGTTCTGCTCCTCCTTGGTCAGCCATTGATCCTGGGTAGTAGCCAGAGGAAGTGGTTCCTCTGAAGTGCGGCTTGTCTGGGAGCTCTCCTGGACTCTTGTAGCAACTTGTGCAGTGACTCAGTTGCTCAGTTGTGACCCCTGATTGGCCCTTTTGAAGTTTAATTCTTTATTTTCTTTTTTCACAGCTGTGCCTTTTATTGCTTATGTTCTAATGCTGTGACTCCTCTGTGGAGTGGACATTGGATAAAATATTAAGCTAGCACTGTATCTTCTTTTTTCCTACTATGAAGAGAAACGTTTTTAGTATTTGGAAAAGCTGTTGAGCCTTACCCCCATCCATTGTGATGGCAGTCAGGTGATTCGTAATGAGCTAATCCCAGAGTGTGTTTAAAATCAAGAAGCTGGGAGGATTGAGTTATTTTCACCATAAAGTAGAATTTATGCTTTTTTTCTTTTAAGTTTCATCAAATTCTGTTTATTTCTTACAGGCATTGTGTGTATTTTCTCTATATACAATTTAGTTTTTGAGAAATTTATGTGTATCTCATGTGAATCTATAACAAGATACATACTGCATTTGAATATAAAAGTTGGCCTTAGGGCCGGGATTTAGCTCAGTGGTTTTGCCACCTGCCTTGAAAGCGCAAGGTCCCAAGTTTGATCCCCAGTACCAAAAAAAAAAAAGAGATAGGCTGTGTGGTAGCACTTATTGAGAAAAATTGTGGCATAACAGTAGCATAAAGTGTGGCAAGAGCCTTTTAGGGTCTGCAGAAGTCAGTTTTTATATTCCCAAAGGCCAGTGTCTTCCCACCTAATAATACAGACTTTTCAATCACAGCAGACACTGCTAGTGTCAAGGCCAGCATTAATCTATCCAGGCACAGATGCTCCTTGAGGAGAGGCTATGTCACATCCGTTTACTCTCAAAGCGCCCTGATTTGTAGGGTCTGACTAAGGCCTTAGGAATAGCTGTTTTTGAAAAGAAACCAGGTATTTTGAATGCTGTATTTTGATCTGGATTGTCCCTTTTTTTTCTTTAAAACATATACAGGGCATTGAAAAGTGCCTACCTTTCCTGTCACTAAGAAGATTACCTAGATATTTAAACGTTAAGTTCTCTTGGAATGCTGATGGGAGTGACTGGTTAACAGTTGTTAGAGCAAGGCAAGTCTGTAGGAATGGAGAGAGCAGGTTCTCATCTCATGAGAGCTGGCCAGCCTTCTTGTGGTAGCAGAGTTGAAATTAGAGTTCAAATCTGTGAGCTCATCCCATAATTTGGCCTGAAAAAAACTGACATCCAGGAATAATGGTGGGGCTGCCTCTAGATCTATACCTTTGGAAGTTCTAGTGGTTAGGCTGCTTTGTCTCCTCCTAGGACTGGTCCAGGCAGCCATCATTACTGACTTAAGATGCAGGGGAACACAGCTGTGAGCAAAAGTCAGTAATTGAAAGCATGTTACTGAGCTGGGTTTAAATCTCAACTGGGAAAATGATGTGGCACTGATAGAAACTACTCTTTGGTAAAAGGTGAAAGATTTATACCATCTGAAGAGAAACCACAGTATAGAAACTACTCTTTGGAAGATCACAAATATTTATATTTTTGATTAGGGGAGAGGAGAGGCATAAGGACATATCATTAACATTTATAAAAAATGTACTTTTCATACGAAGTAGAATCAGGGAGCTCAGAAGTCATCATTTAAGAAAACTGCATACTGTTTCACAAGTAAGTATGTGAACCTCAAGTGTACAGGTCAGAAGGGAATTCTGCTTTGAGAGCATTTAGGTGACTTAGTACCAGCAGCACATGGAGAGATCATGAGCATCTTGGGAAGGATTCGCTTCACGTGGGGACCTGAGAAGCAGCTGGGACTGGGCTGCTGGAGTGACTCACAGGTATTAGAACCTGCCTTTCATGCAGAACAACTAGGAGCCTATTAACTACTGTTTGCGTATCATTTAAGTTAAAACTAACCTGGGTACCCCAGTTTTTCTCTTACTTCTGATCATGCTAACATCTGCCACATCAAATGCATATTCCATGGAGCCTCCCTGCTCCATCTCTGTTCTTGGATATTCATTGGAACTCACTTCTTAGGAAACCTCTAAGCTTTAGATGAAGTCATAGAAAATTCTAAGTGTTTAGCTGTTTCTGACTTGAGAAAGATGGCAAATGACATGGTTCAACCTGATAGGATAAAACATGATGTGGGTCAGGTGCCATCCTGTTGTGTGCAGTTTCAAGAATTAAGGAATCTTCAGAAGAAGAAAATATGGTCAAGGAAGGAAAGTAACTGCAGCAAGCAGTCAGTTTACCTTACTTCAGAAGCTGTGTTTCTCTGCTTCCAGTCCTCCTGTGACAAGGTGCTCCTCTGCTTTCGCCATCACTAGCTGGACTTGGTCTATTGACCAGAGCATGTGAGCCACGCATGTGCTTTGAGGCCAGCCATCGTGCTGACTGTGAACTTCTTCCCAGAGGGCCAGACCACAGCCAGGCAGCCAACAAAAAGGTTACACAGCCATTCTTTCTCTTTAATAGAGCAGGGACAGCAATTAAGACAGCTTAGGGACAAACTGTTTTTCTGTGTCTGTCCATTGAGACAGGATTGAGGGTGAATCCAGGGAACAAAAGTAAGAATGTGGCCTGGTGGGGTGGGCCCTGGCGGGTTATTTGCTCTTGCCTAGCCTGCTGGGCCTGGAGGAGCTTCTTGTATTTACTTGCTCAGTTTCCTTCAGTGTCTAGCAGATGGAAGTTGCAGGGGACACATCTTCCCTTGTCCTGTTGGCCAAATCTGTGAAGTATGCCGAGTGCTGGAGCAGCCGATTTTGGACCAGATCTCCACTGTGCTGTCCTGGCCAGAGACCTGTAGGCCAGGCGCCTGTGGAACTGAGTCGGGAATGAGAGGAGCATCTGTCTTTATACAGTGCTTCATCACTGGCCCCACAAAGAGGCTAAAGATCCAGAGAAGAGGGAGTATGGGCCCAGGCAGGGAGAAAATGAGCAACACGAGACCAGGGAAAGTTTGAAGTATAGATGGGAAAGAACAACTTGTCATTTTATCTGGGGAGGAATGTACTTCCTAGAACACTCCAAACAAAAGACAGTCTTCAATGGACCCGAGCTGTGGGAGTCAGTGATTGTGCGGGTGTAGAGGTGTGTTGCGTCTGTGAAACACCCGCCTGTGAAGGTGGAAGGCATAAGGGTATGCCACGTTGCATCCATGCCTTTACTACCCTGCAGCTTGAGGCTCGCTTTGAGTATGCCTCCAAGCTGTCCAGAGACGGCACCATGCTGCTAAGCAGTGTCAGGTGTCCCCATGAGGGATCATCACTCTCTGGGGGTATTCTCCCCAGCGTGAAAGAAGCACAGGACAGAACCAGGGTGGGATCTGGTGATACAGGAGCTCGAGACAATGGGGGCAGAGATTCAGCAGGATCAGCAGGTCCAAGGCTACTGAGGAGGGTACGAAATGTGCAGACAGGCTGGGCAGGTGCGGGCAGGGATGCTGCTGGGGCTTTGCAGTGTGCTGAGCCCAGAGGAGTTAATTTAGTTTGAAATAAAGTATGAATTGAAAACCCCATATTCAGTTCTTAGCCAGTATAAAAATGCAGCCTTTTCTTTTTCTTTAAGGAAAATACTCAGGCATCTTTGGCAGCCCCCATAGAATGCCGGCGGGGCTAGTGAGCACCCTGGTACTCAGCACCACACAGTGGCCAGTACTCAGTCTGGCGCTGAGCTGTCTCCATCCTCCCTCAGCATCAGGATGTGAGTCGTGTCTTGCACACATGGGTTACGGTATTCTGATTCATT